ACATTTGATAGTCAAGTGGGGTACTTGGCCTCTGATATAAAGTTTTCCTCTAAGAGGTCTTTTACAGCTTACTCGACAGTCACCGTTTTCTTCGGGGGCTGTTGTCGTCTATGTTGGGCAACTGCTCTGACGGCGAGGTCAATGTTGAGATGATGATAGGCCACATCAGGGTACAATCAATCATCGGGAATTGTACTTTGATTGATCTAGCCGTCTCTGCAGATTTGAAGGTTATGATCATCTCAACATAACCCCAAGGCTTTGCTACCAATCCATTAAAACCTTATAGGTCTGAGCCCACATAGGGAGTCAAAAGTGATTCATCCAGTTGGAAGGTGGAGAAAAAATGGGAGTACATAATGTCGTCGGAGCTTCCTTGATCGACGAGGATTCGTCGAACATCAAAATTCGCCATCTAGGCCTTTATGAGCAGAGGGATGATGGCGTTAGGGGCTCTGTTGACGAGCTCCTTGCAGTAGAAGAAAATGGGGACAAACTCACCCCGGACCCTATCGAGGGTGGAGTTCCGGTTTGAGCTGCTGCTGAGGAGGTGCTCAAATTTCCTCTTAATGAATCCTACTGTTACTCTATTGAAACCTCCTCCGAAGATGACCATGGAGGAGGGGAATGTCTCCCACGAGCTGTGTGCAGCAAAATATGGAGGGGTGGTGAGCCCCTTGGGAATCCAGAAATCTTCAGGTCGTGAGATGCTCATGGCGACCTGTAGGCTGGTTTCCCTGGAGGAAGGCGCTTCTTCCTCGACCTTCTGGGCTTCTTGGGCATTTGGTTGAGGAGCTTCCTTTCGCTTGGCGAACTGCTTCAGATGCCCATCCCTGATGAGTATTTCAATGGCATCCTTCAGGTGGAAGCAGTATTTCGTCGTATGGCCATAGCTCTTGTGGAATCGACAGTATTTCGACATATCAGTGTTGGGTTCGGACGATATCTGCTTTGGGAACCGGACCCCTACCTGGAAAAATTCTGAGTTGGCACACTCAGTGAGGATCTTCTCCCTCGAGACTGTTAGGGGAGTGTATTCGTGGAACCTACTTGAGGTTCCATTGTTGTTCTGGGTCTCATGAGGACGGTCTTCTCGTTTTTTATCTCCTCGATGGGATGTCGAGGGTTCTTCAGATCTGGACGGACGAGCATTCTCCTTGTACCTGGAATCACGAGCAGAGCTGGCAACCTCTTTTTCCTCGTTCTAAATGTACGATTAAGCTTTGAGGAGAAAAGCATTCAGTGTTGCCGGGGGCCTTAGGCTTACAGCTTTAGCAAAATCTGTGCGGGGACGGAGGTCGCGCTCTAGCAGGAACCTTTTCATGTCATCAGTGGTGGAGACTTAGACGGCATCCTTATTGAATGTTTCGATGTAGGTTCGTAGGGGTTCGTCCCTACTCTGAATGATGGCCTCGAGGGAGGCTTCGGTCTTCGGATTTCGGCGAGAGGCCGTGAAATGTCTGGAGAAGAGTCTCCCCAGTTGCCTTCATGAGGTGATGGAGTCGTCAGGGAGTCCTTTATACCAGGTCATTGCCCCCTATCCTGAGCGTGGTCGGGAATAACCTGCACTTGATGGCGCCCCGGACGTTGCGATAGTAGAGAAGTGCACCGACGTTTTCGATGTGCTCGTCAGGGTCAGTTGTTTCGTTGTATGTTCCTAGAGAAGGGGGTTTCTCTAGTCCCTTTGAGGGCACATGGGTATGATTTCCTAGGACAACGGGCCATGAGGCCCGTCGTCACTGCAACTGCTGGTCCAAGAGGGGAAGCAGGCGCCATGTTTATAGGTGGGACGGTAGCCTCATCGTGGAGACGGGGTTTGTGCTCGGCCCTTGTATCTGGGTGGCGAACGTTAACATTGTACTTGGTGCCCTCTTCGGGTCCTCTTTTGTTGCGGGGGCTGCTGGTTTCGGGGAGAAATCTGGTCGCGTTTGTGGACGGTCAGGGTCTCTGGTTCTGAAGGCTTATGATGGTTTCTCTCGTGTCGAGGAGGGGGACTCCGTCGTTGCTGACGTTCTTTCCTCGGTGGCAGGGATCTTGGACGATGAGACCCTTCCAATGATTCGATCCTCCCTCTCTAGTTGAGGATTAGAAGGTTGGTTTTGTTAAGAACCTCGAGGAGGGTCACCATGACCGGGTCGGCGTTGGGCGGAACTGGAACTGGCAGGTGCTGCAGGACAAGCAGGGATTCATTGTGATCTACATGAACGAGGGATGGAGAAGTTGTGGCTCCGTCCCTTCGTTGGAGGACGTCTTCGCCATGGGAGGTGAAGGACCCTCAGCATCAGTCTTGCTGACGGGGAGGAAAACAGAGTTACGAGCATCAAGATTGTTGTCACATGTAGTCATGATTAGAAAATTGAAGAACTATTTTGGTCTTGTGTTCTTATGAAGAGAGAAAAGACGAGGATAATAAGTTTCCCACAGATGGCACCACTTATCTTACCAAATGGTCAGAACCTGAGATGGGTCAAGGACAAACGTCTGTAATGTTGGGTGTGAAAGCGGATGAGGGGGTGTACTTGCAAGGCACTCGATGCTAAAGTAAGAAAACGAGCAAGAGAGCGGGCAAATACAAAATATGTGTGTTTCAAGGTGAGAAATTGGATACCTGACCCTCTCAAATGAGAGGATTTTTATAATGCCCTCAGCGCTTGGCCATTGGTCCTTATTTTCGGGGCGAGATAACTGTTTCCCGCATAATAGGTAACTGCCAAAAATAGTCGTTGGGGCGGGCAGGTGTGCCCATAACTAGCCGTTGGGACGGGCAGAGGTATAGTTACAAGCACATGCGTCTTGGCTGTTTCTGAATGGTGGAACTGTGCGTGACAGGCAGAGACTGGAGGGGAGAGGCGTTATGACCAAGGGTAAATTGGTCACACTCCCCTATTGGAGGGGCAGAAAGGTGAACTTTTTACCGAGGAGGTTAGACTTGGGCAATTGGGTCGTTCTGGGAGCAGAAGTGGATTGGGCCATGCCTAACCATTGGGCTAATCCAGAACACTACGAATATTCAATCAACCGTTGTAATATGTGATATTTAGGCACATGCATTTTTTTATATATTTTATTTAACCACCTATAAGCACGGTTAATTTAATACCTGTGGTGAAAAGTAGCGTATGATCATAGGTTTAAATTCCAGCACCAGCATTTTTGATTATTTACTTATTTTTAAAAATGTTGAAAGATCTTTCACCACAGGTATTTAGATCATCCGTGGTTATAGGTAGCGTCTTCTTATATATATAGTGCTCACTAACGCCTCTAGCGCCTCTACGCCCACGCCCTCGGATCCGGTTCCGGAGTCGGAGCCGGTGTCGCCGGTGGCGACACCGGCGAGGGGTGTTTTGTATGAGACAAGTGACATAAGGCTTGGGACCACCACATATGACTATGTGGCACTTTATCCTCTTTGGCTCATTTGGAAAGTACATTGTTCCAAGGGTCTTATAAATGTTATTTAATTTTACTCCACTTCCAATGTGGGACTCATTTGAAGCATTTATTGCCAATTAACTATATCACTCACTTTGTCATTTTGGAACAACTTAATGGAAATAAATATTCATTATTTCCAACATTCGTATTGTTCTTGTTGTTACTTTTTTTTTATTGTTCTTGTTGTTATTCTTATTTTTGTTCTTATTGTTGTTATTGCTCTTGATGTTCTTGTTATTATTCTTGTTGTTCTTTTTGTTGTTTTGGTGTTCTTGTTGTTATTATATTTATTGTTATTGTTGTTCTTCTTTTTCTTCTTGTTATTGTTCTTATTATTCCTGTTAACCTTTGTTGTTCTTGATGTTGTTGTGTTAAAATATTTAATATTGTATATTATGATGAAAGTTATAAATGTAATCAGACAAAACGTGTGGCAAAACTAAATAAAATGTTGACTGACCTTTCACAACGGGTATTTAAAACAATCGTGATTATCGTAGTGCGCTTTTCAGTTTTCTACCATGAGCATTAGATCGTGATTTTAAATACCCCACATCCAATCACACTCTACCTAACAACGGTGTTCACCCGTTATTATAAGTCTTTCGCAACCGTGGTTATATGTGTTTTTTGTGTCGTAGTGACAATGACATATACAACTAATCACGATAATGATAATCAATTTTTAGATCTAATCTTCTTTTTTTTTTTTTTTTACTATAGATCTAATTTATTTGATTTTGCCTTTTTTTTTTCCCATATTTTTACTATAGATCTAATTTATTTTGATTTTGCCTATATGTTTTTGTTGATTACAACTTAATTTTTTTTTTGGTTTGGTTGAGATCAATAAATCTTTATTCTTCTTTTTTAAATTACTTTTTAAAATTTAATATTTTTGTTTCACTGTATTATCATTTTTAAAATTAAAAATAGTACATTTTCTTTTTTATATTTAATAGATTCTAAATTTTATACTTGAGTCAAAAATAAAAATATAAAGAATTTGTAGCTTAAAATTTTTTTTATTATTCATAATTGAAAATTTCAGTTCTTTAAAATTAAATATAAAACTTTATAATTTTTTTCTCATATTTAACCCTATTATATTTTACCATTTTAAAAAAAAAAAAAATTCATTTTGGATTTTTGTGTCATCCTCACACATGGGCTATACTAATATTTTCTATATCGTTTCAATTTTCTAAGATTTAAAATGTATAGTAATAGATAAACCACCTTGACTTTGTAGAATTTTAAATTTAGAATAAATATAGTAAAAGTAAAATAAATAAATCTTCAATTTTAAAATATCTAACTTTTTTAGGTTATAATTAAGACCAAAAAAATTCAAACATTTCCTTACATGTGTAATGGGTGGAGATCCCAAGTACCAATATGAAACAACCCAAAAACAACAAAAAGCAAAAACAACAAGAAACTCCATAATTCACACCGCCACATGTTTAACTATAAATGACGCAATCACCATATGAAAACTCTTATTTTTCTTCAAACTACATTGTTTCTATATTTCAAATTCTCTAAACAACAACATAGTCATGGAAACAATGGATCAAAGACTTGTCTCAACTTGGTCTAACGCTATTTCCTCTGTCCCTCTTTCCTTTGTTCAACCACCTGAGTGTAGACCTGGTAAGGTCACCAACCCTTCAACTAAGACAATACCTTTGATTGATCTTGGCGGACATGATCATCCTCATATCATATCACAAGTTTTGAAAGCTTCTCAAGAATATGGCTTTTTTCAGGTTAGTTTCTTTCATTTTTTTAATATTGAATTCATCTTTTATGTGTATGTTGTCTGACACATGTTTGTGAGTGAAACACATCTGATTATATATCAGTGATTAGTTGTCCGACATATGTCAGTGACGCAGATATAACTGATTACATGTCAGTGATATGTTAATGTCCGTATAACTGTTTCGCGTGATTTAATAAAACTATGAAATAGGTTATCAACCATGGAGTTTCAAAGAATTTAGTGGATGAAGCATTGAATGTTTTCAAAGAATTTCATGGCATGCCTCCAAAGGAAAAGGTGAATGAATGTTCTAAAGATTCAAATGGAATTAATTGCAAGATATATGCAAGTAGTGAGAATTACAAAAAAGATGCTATTCAATATTGGAAGGATACCTTGACTCATCCATGTCCTCCTTCTAGAGAATTCATGGAATTTTGGCCTCAAAAACCACCTAAATACCGGTAATTTATTTATTTTCATTATTTTTTTTATATATTTTTCTAATATTATTATAAGTATTTAGTTAAATTTATGATTAGATATACTAATTTTTATGGACTCATTTCTCTTATGTTAGGAATGAAAATAAATATAAGATTTACTTAAATTGATTTATATAAGTTTATATTTTGACATAAATTATGCGGTGCATTTTATAATTTTTTAAATTTTATTTAAAATAGTTTATAAAAAAATATATAACATAATTAAATTTTTTTTTTTAGTTATTATGGTAGGTGTTTTAGTATGAAACCAATTGTCGTGAAATTGATTGCATCATCAAATAATAACGATTTGATTTGATGTGCAATAAATTATGTAACCAAGAAACACCAAGTCAAATATACAAAACTTAACATACAACATTTACAAATAGATAAAACAATTAATAATTTTTTTATTTGAAAATAAAAAATTACATTGACTTCGTCTCTCACAAAACATACCGTCACAAAAAATGGAACTTATATATTGGCTTCTAGGTTTTGTTCCCACGTCAAAAAATAGAAAAATATTTTTGTTTCAACATCAAAAGAAAAATTGTGAGAGAGGGAATAGATTATGACATAATTTTATATAGTAGAAAAAGATTTTTTATTTATTTTGTTTATAATAAAGAAGACGATTTAATATATTTTTTATAGAAAGAGAAGATAATTTTATTAAAAGAAGAGGAAGAATATATATGTTCATTCTCTCATATTTAACTTAAATAGAAGTTGGCAGCAACAAAAGAACTGGAAAAAATAGAGAGAAAAAACAAGACATTTTGAATGTTTGTCTGTTTTCTCTATAAATTTAGATATAATTCTTTATCTTTTTTTCCCATAGAATTCGTGTTTTCAGGTTGAGGGTAAGGCTCCAAAAATAATGTTTTAATTTTTTTAAAAATAATATTAATACAAATTTTTATAGTTTTTCATTAAGAAAAAGCTAAAATAAATAAAATCATATTTAAAATTTGTATTTTTTAAAGTACAAATGCGTGTCAGACGCTTTGGAATTGTTATGGTATTGAGAGTTATATTTATAGCTCTAGGGGTTTGAAATCAAGTCTTCCTAGAATATTGTAACCACTCTAGGAGTGAGTGGTTGATTCCGTAAAATCTAGGAAATTATGTTAACTTCCACAATCTCTTACTAGTGTCCAGACGGGTACTCGCGTGCCCGTCTGTCCGCTTTTTTATTGCACACATATAAATATAAATAATATATTTTATTTAATATTAATTTTACATGGAAGTTATGTGGGAAGTTATTAGTAGGGAGTTATATGAAAGATGATAGTAGTAGTTCAATGGAAGTTATATATTTTAAAATAAGGGTAAATTTGGTATAAAAAAAAGCTACACCAAAAATCAAGTATTGCCTTTATATATGTTATAGATGTAACACTTGCTGACCAAATACATGTCTCACGCATGACCGCATGCTATGAAATAAGACGTTAAGGATTCAAGCAATATATCTGAACAAGGGGCGCTCAATCCGACCCGTTCGGACTAATGAAAATGCGACTTGGGAAGGACAAGGTGATAAGTGTATGCCTTTCGCCCTAACCTCAAGACCTCTTCCAATTATTACATTACACAGTGTCTCGAGTACGAGGGCTCGTAGAGGGTGGCCGACTGATCCTTGACCCTTCTTGAAGAGCCTCGTCGAGGCTTTTATCCCTACCATTTGTTCTTGAAGTTTAAAATGACCCTTAGGGATGAGGGTTAGTTAAGTCCCTCATGTGAGACTTAGTTGAGCCCCTAAAGCAAGACTTATATGAGTCTCTCATGCGAGACTTAGTTGAGTCCCTCAAGCGAGACTTCAAATGTTAAGGTGTCGCCTTTGTGTAGTTTGTTTTAGGCCATACTCCCAAGTGTTAGTGGCACATCCAACACGTTAGCTGTGGAAATTCAAACGTTAATTAGTTAAAAGAAGTTGAATGTCTTGCTAGACGAAAGTGATTGATGCACTAATTGGGAAAAGTATGCATTACATTAAATGCAATTGATGATGATCTTTCTTGGGAGCGAAGGTCCCTTCCTGGAGACACCTTTATTATTCTAAAGGCTTTCAAAGGTTCTATCAAGGGGCCCTGATTGCTGCCAGATGATGTGTAGGCTCCATCACGGGTGTTCCATGTACTCGCTGCAAGGGGAAACAAGGATTTATTTAAGAGGATCCATCATGTAATCGCCTCGAGGGGTGGCATAGATTCTTTCAAGAGAACTCAGTATATAATTCACCTCAAGGGGCGACAAAGAATTCTTCAAGAGGATCCAACATGTAGTTACCTCAAGGAGCGGTAAGGTTTCCTTTAACAGGATTTAGCATGAAATCGTCTCGAGGGGTGATAAGAAATTCTTTATGAAGATCCAACATGTAATCGTCTCGAGGGCCGATAAGGAATCTTTTGCAAGGATCCAACATGTAATTTATATGAGGGGTGACAAGGATTCCGTTAAGAGGATCCAATATGTAATCACCTCGAGGGATGACAAAGATTCCTTCACGAGGATCCAACATGTAATCACCTCAAGGGGCAACAAAGATTCCTTAAAGAGGATCTAAGATGTAATTTCTCGAGGTGCGATTTTATTTGGTGTTATTCTCTCGCTTTGTGATAAGTTGCATGTAAATCAGCAGTAGTCTAAAAACTTGAATATAATGAAGGCTCATTAAAAACCTTGCGCCACATTAATGACACGGTCAAAGAATACCCTTACGAAACGTCATTATTCATACACAAACGACTAAGAATATAACTTGCCTAAAATACACATCGAACAATTTTAAACTAAATGAGACCCATTGTCTCGACTAAAGCTTATAGAAGGGAGATCCTTCTACAACCTTCATGTCCACCTCTTCTAGAATAGCGAAACATTCTTCTTCATGAGTATCTTCTAGTGGGTTTGCCTTCACATTCGCGATGTTCATGCTTACTACTCTAAATTTCTGTAACTCCAAGTTTCTATGAGGGAGACCCTCTTCCTCAACTTTCATGTTCGCCTCTTTTGGAAGGATGAAGCCTTCTTCATCAAAAGCTTCTACTAACGGGTTTTCCTTTGCGTCCATGATGTTCACGCCTATTGTTATGACTTTCTTCAACTTCAAGCTTTCCACATAGCATTTTCTGGAAATCTTTTGGTCCCCTTGGATAATACCTACTCGCCCATCTGGGAGCGAATACTTCATACATAGATAAAAGGTAGATAGGGAAGACCCTATCTAGTTGAAGGAAGGTCACCCTATGATCATAATATACAATGAGAGTGCATCAATGACTAAATATCTTACCTTGACCTGCTTGGCATTTTCTTCTATCCCGAAGACAGTCTTTAGTGTTATGTAAACCTTCACCTGAACTGGTTTTCCTAAGAACTCTAATAATATCCCTATAAGGGTTTGAGCTCATCCAAATCTAGGCAGAGCCTCTCGAATGCATCCCACTAGAGGATTCCAATGGATATGCTTTAATCAATTAGGACTCTTTTGATATGCCATTTGTCACATCGAACAAAGATCATTGTGGGTTCAAAGTTGTGCGGGTGAATTTTGGATGCATTTTCTTGCTGAACGAAGTTGTTGTCTTTTTGTTCACCATGATGAATGATGAGTGCAAAGACAATACTACGGCCAAATGATGTGATTGTGGCTCAGGTCAGTTTTAACAGAGTCCCACGGTGGGTGTTAATCGTACTTGCTAAAAGTACAAATGTGTGACAATCCCTAGTGGATAGAGGTTGGTAGAGGCTTTAGGATAGTTATGGTATGTAGAGTTAGCTCACGTGAGGTGATAAGTTACTTTATATGTGTCTTTTCTTTGTGTTATTGATTATTCCTAAGTATCACGATATTGATGTATTTATAACTCCAGGGGTCTGAAATCGAGTATTTCTGTAATGTAGTAATTATTCCATGAGTGGGTGGTTGATTCCTTGAAATCCTGAAAGTGAGGTTAAATCCCATTATTCCTTATATAATGTATGTTGACTCAATACATGTCTTTTGCACGATCGTGTGCTATAGGCGAAGACGTTAAGAATTCAGGTGATATATCAGAACAAAGGGCACTCGATCTAAAAGAGGGGTGCTCGAACTAATGAAAGAGCAAGTTAAAAAGGACGAGGGATTTAGCGTATGCCTTTCGCCTGTCCTTAAGACTTCTTCCAATCATATCATTACAAAGTTAATATTGTCTGAAAAACTACTAAATTATAGACTTTATTATAAATAAATAAAAAACAAAATCAATTACAAATTTAATAAATAATTTTGTATTTTAAAATTTCTAAAACATGAAACTCACAAAATTTAAGTAATTGCATATTTGAATTTATATTAACTATTGTCACTTCTTCTAAATAAAATAAATTACAAAAATAATGTTATGACTTTTAAAATTGTATCATCATATATAATTTATCTTAAGCCTTGACATCTATTAGGCCAACTTCCATATTTCTATTATCTTTCGTTTTTATGTTATCATTATAATTTAAGAGGGAGATTTTATCATAATTTCTTAATTTTCTATCTCAAATTTTACTTCAAATAAACAATTCTTTTTGTTGGATTTTTTTAGTGAGATTGTTGGTGAATATACACAAGAATTAAACAAGTTGGGACATGAAATATTAGAGATGCTTTGTGAAGGGTTAGGGCTAAAGCCAGGATATTTCATTGGTGAACTTAGTGAAAATCCAATAATACTAGCTCATCACTACCCTCCATGTCCAGATCCAAGTTTAACTTTAGGCCTAGCCAAACATAGAGACCCTACACTCATCACTCTTCTACTTCAAGATCAAGAGGTTCATGGACTTCAAGTCCTTAAGGATGATCAATGGATTCCGGTTGAACCCATTCCCAATGCTTTTGTTGTTAACATTGGTTTAATCTTGCAGGTAAAATAAAATCTAATCATTAATTTATTCTATTAATTTAAATTCTATTAATTAGTTTCATAATTTAATATAATCTTTTTTCTAGATTATTACCAACGGAAGGCTTGTTGGTGCTGAACATCGAGTTGTGACGAATTTGAGAAGTGCAAGAACATCAGTTGCGTATTTCATATATCCTTCATTTTCAAGAATGATTGAGCCTGCACAAGAATTGATAGGTGAAACCACTCCTCCAATTTATAAATCAATGTCATTTGGAGAATTTCGTAAAAATTTCTATGAAAAAGGACCCAAAATTGAACAAGTATTGCATTCTTAGTTATTCAAATAAGAAAAATAAGAGAAACGGACTAAGAGAGAACTTGTGTATTTCTCTTATTTGAAAAATGAAATAAATGAGGGGACAAATAATTTTGTGTATTGGACTGTAAAATATTTTATATATCATAAAGAAATATAACTTTTGTCATTTATATCCTCATTATTTTTGTTTCTATTTTACCATTAAAATATAAATCACTACTATAGAATAGTAAAGTATGCATATTTTGATTTTTTGGTGTATGCAACTACAACAACTAAACAAGAAAGTTTAGAAATAAAAAAAAGAGTAACATCATTGAATAAGACATTTTTCTCTATTTTGGTTTTTGTCTAGAACTTGTTTAATTTCAGTTGACATACTCAGGTTTGGGATCAAACCACATAGTGCTATTGGGTCATTCTTATATGTTATTGTTATTTTCCCCTTACTTTTAACTAAATATAAGGGAATCTCTTATATTTTATTGTCATCCATAAAATATAAATCTAGATTGTAAAGAAAGAAGACATAAAATAAATTTTAGAATTTTCATCAATTTGAACATTATATAATATAAATAGGGCTGGAAATGAGTCGAGTCGAGTCGAACTCACCTCAGCTCGGCTCGACTCGTTAAGAATTTTTCGAGTTCGAGTTCGAGTTCGAGTTCAACACGAACTTTTTTTTAAGCTCAAACTCGACTCGTTATGAATTGTTTCGAGTTCGAGTTCGAGTTCGAGTTCAACACGAACTTTTTTTTAAGTTCAAACTCGACTTGTTATAAGTTCACGAACAGTTTGGTTCAACTCATTAGGATCAGCTCACATGATTCACGGGCTTAAAAACTATTTTTTTTAATATATATATATTTTAGTATATTTGACATTTTAAATAAATATATTTTTTTTAAAATAAAATATTAAAATAAAATAAAAATTATCATATTGAAATTTAACTTTATCTTCGAAATCTACTAATTCAAAACTTACACAACTTTCAAGAGATACATTTGAGAGTCTAATTCAAAAACTACTAAGTTGAAGATTAAATTTGTCTAAGATTTAGATTAAATATTTAAACCTAATCTTAAAGACAGTATAATTATTCTCATATGTAATCGAGTTAACTCATGAACCTAACGAGTCGAACTATGTAGAGTTCAAGTTCAGCTCATTTAGTTAACGAACTTAATTTTTCGCTCATACTCAACTCATTAGGTTCATGAACCTAGTTCAACGATCTAATTGTCGAATCGAATTTCGAACTATTTTCGAGTTGGTTCGGTTCATTGCCAGCCCTAAATATAAATATCTAGGATTTACTAAGCATATTGGATCAAGCCACTTTGAGAAAATAATATTAAATATTAAATTAGTGTAAATTATTAATTACACCCCTTTAATATAAATATAAATTTTTTAGCAAGACTGTTTTTTAATGGTCTTAAATGTCATCCCATTAACAATATTCTTGGACCCAAAAATACTTTGTCCTCAAGGTTCAACATAGTCTTGTCGCGTGATATAAAAGAATCAACTCAAGGGTAAAATAATTTAGGAAAAGGTGTGTGTGTGTGTGGGGGGGGGGGGGGGGGGGTTCAAAACATTGAGGGGGAATGGCTTTGATTGGATTTAAAATCCAATGGACGATCATATGGCTTGGAAGATTTTGGAATAAAGGTCAAGGGGTCCATTGGTTGGAAAAATGTCATTGGGGGAGGGGATATTGTTGCAGGTTTTGGGAAAAGTAAAGCTAGTGGAACATGCTTAGTTTGTGTGAGACAAGATGAGGAAAGGACTTATGGGATGTGGCAGGTGAGTATTGAAGGCCCACGTGATTCTACTATGGGAGTAAGGGAAAAAGAACCATTTAGAGGCACGTGCTAGGTTGTATGTGTAGTTGAGATTTGAGTGATGTAAGGAATGAGATTGGGTTAGCAGGTTAAGATTGGTGTGGGCTGAATTGATGCCAACCATGTAATGGGTGGAAAATTTTGGGATGTGTGTTGACGTGTAGTGTATGGTGGAGAGCAGTGTGTGGCAGACAAACATGGTTTTAAAGGAAGACAGTGATTTTATGGGTTGAAAGAATAAAACTGCTAATAGTTACCGAAAGAGTCAAAGTAGAAGAAGGAAGACTTCTTCTTCATACGTTTTATTATAGAAATTCAAATTGTTTACTTCTACATCATGGGTATGTGATACCAGATATTGATATCACATTTATATGAATGTGAAAATCCCTTAAATAAGTAGGATATTGACTATGGTTGAAGTCAATCTACGTCTATAAGGGAACAACATGTTTCATTGAATATGCTTAGACATAGATTGGAGCTTAGAATGGAGCCAAACAATTTTTCTTAAGTTTCATTTAGTAAAAGAGACATTAATTCTAAATTTTGTATTAACAAGATGAGGAGTACATGGTTTGATAAAGGATAAGTGTTGTTATGATTATCCAAACAGGGGTTTCCATACTAAATCAAGTAGTAGATTTGAGTTCTACTTAATAAGCTCGTCTATAACAAGTGTTGGATTGATCAAATAAGATTTGAACCTTATGTATATCAATGACATTAATATTTAGTTCAAATAAGTAAATGCATTTCCAAAGTCTATGTGAATGAATTGTTGGACTCATTTAGTTTTATATCATTTGATAAATGCATGTTTTAATTTTGGAATATGTTTCTAATGTTGCAATCATCGACTAGAGTGAAAGGACATATGATATATCTTAATTTTATACATGCGTGATGTATATGAACCTCTAAACATATTTATTGGATGCATTTTGTTTCTCTTACTTCATTTATATTACTAATAGACTCAGTAATTATGGATTTATATATGTGGCACGAGTTAGAATTCTTTTGAGAAAAGTTCAAGAATGTAGTAGAAGGAAATGACTCAAAAAGGTATGAAAACCATACGAAGGGTTCATTATGATAAATGCATATATAAAGAATATAATGGCTATTTAAATTGTATCGTGTTTGACATTGTTCGATCTAAAATAATTTCATTATATCTTTGTGACTCTGTTTATAAATTGTTTTACATATAAGTATACTCCTATCCATAATTAGTTTCATTTAAAGTAGTCATAAAGACACCATATTTGATATGGAGGTAAGAGTGACTAGTTTGTCTTTATGATAATTTGGGTTGTAAGGTTTATTAAGTAAACTTGATCACAATCTAGATGAAGATATATTTATGGATGTATCCTAATAAAAAAAATAAGAGACACATACTGTATAACACTTTATAGGAAAAAATGTTTTTGTCGCTAGAACTGTAGTCTTCCTTTAGAGATTGTATGTATCCAAAGGAGCCCAGTGGGAGTGATGTAGAACTTGAAGAAATTCAACCACTATAAAAATATATCTATTTATGAGAATGTAATATGAACCAATTCAAAAAGGGATTTGGTATTGGACCATTAGTTCATGTAGCATGATATCTAGAGAAAATTATAAATGATCTTGATTCTAAAAGGAGTATAAGTTGACTAAATCCAATTATGTATTAGAGCATGCTTTTTGAATTTGAATACTTTTATTAATGAAGTTTTAGGAAAAATTAGATTAATAATTGCCATGTTTAAATCTTGTGCACACAAGAAGATTAGTGAGATTATTTGCATTAATCTAATATAGTATGTAGGTGACATACTTGTCGCTACTGCGAAAAAAGAGGCCGGCAATGACTAACAGAGTCGCCACATATCGTTATTTATCCCCAAAGAGGGGAAAGGAAACAATCGGAAAAAATCTGACGAAAACGAGAAAAGACGAGGTCGTCGCAACCAAGTCCTAGGTTAGGGAGTCGATTACGCAAGGGGAAGGTATGAGCACCCCTCACGTCCGTCGTACTCGACGGGATCCACGCATATGTTGTCTATCTAAAAGGGTGTGTTGAAACTACCTAGCTAAAGGCTTAAGGACAAAAGAAAAAGAAAAAAAGGACTGACTCGGCAGAGCATCGTCGCTCTGTGCCTACGTACTCCCTCGTGCAATGGGAAAGTCAGAGTCAACGTAGTTCGACTAACTACGGCTAAAGAAAAGTGGGAAGGTCGCTCGCCAAGACATCGTGTCTTGTGCCTACGTACTTTCATCTGGTATGAAAGATTAGAGCAAATGTAGTTCGGGCTTAAGAGAACACAGGTTGTTCAAAAGTTTTACCCGAGTAGGGTTAACAGACAGTTCTAGCAGTTTGGTGTATGCAGCTCGACCATTGGAGACTTAGGCGTTACCGTTTGCGATAGGACTGAAAATTAACAACACTCTTGTTTATGAAAAGATTTTCCTGATTAAGATCCTGAAGGATAAAAAGATTTGAAGTGTTTTTGTATTTTTTAAAGAAGAAGTGTTTTGAATTAGAGTGTTCATAATGTATGTTGTAACAAAGTCTAAAGCCTAGGATCAAATGTGTCGCATATCGTCCTAAGGACGTATACTAATCACTCTAGGAAATTGAGAGGTAACCACTCAATCACCATTTCCCAAGTATAAGGCTCATGGCACAACATTCATTATCTTTATTAGGTGGATTGAAGTTGTTTGAAGATGAGAAGAGAAAGGGACAAACTAGAGGGGGACTAGACCAAACCCTAGAAGTTATCATGCAAAGTGCACCTAAAGTTGGGATTACAAAAGGGAAATCTCTAACTAATGTTATCATGCATGGTTAAAACCCTAATGTCTATCATAACCTCTCTTGAATAAGAGAGGTTAGAAATCCTAAGGGAAGTAAGACAAAAGAAGAAGAAGAAGAAACAATAAAGGAAACAATGCAAATGAAGGATGCAAACACAAATGCACAAGTAGAATGAAAGTGGGAGGAAAACATGTGTGGGGCAGTAGCCACCACAAGCTCATCTCAACCAAGCATGTATATAAGGATGCAAAGAGAAAAGGGAGAGAGATGCATCAAAAGCAAACAAACAAGTATCAAAAACAATGAGAAAAAGTTCTCATGGATTCATTACTTTAGGTAAGATTCAAGTTC